AAACTTTTGACATTTTTTAAGCAAATATGAAAGCTGAGCAGTCACAAGATTAGTTCCTTAAGAATGTATAGTTACAATTTAAAAAGCTAGAGGAGGTTTTGTGGGGAACTGACCTGAAGCACTAGAAGCATATAAAATTCTAGAAAGGGTCAAAACTAAAAATGTGAATTATTAAGAAAGAAATACCTGATCAAACTTTTTATGTAACATTAGGACGGGAATGAGTAAAAAATAGTTAATATTTACTGAGAAAGATACCAACCCATTTTTAGGTATTACATCCTTTAAAAACCATCCTTTAAAGATATGTTCTTTACTGTATTTACTTAGATACTCAATGGATATGTAACATCTTTTAAAAGGAATAATTAGTATTTATTTTCGTATCAGCTGTAATGAACCATAGCAAGTACATGTACACAAACATACACACGTACACACACACAAGCACACGCACACACAGTCTTTGGCTTATACTTTTTGGCCATGGGTGAGCACCGCTGCTAGCATGGATAGCCACATATGATCACAAGAAAATATGTAAGAGGGTAAAAATGTTTCTTGAAAGGCAACACTAAAAACCCAAATTCTAGTGTAGGCATTTGGGCAGAAGGAGCAAATATAGCATACTGAGTGCTTCCTGTTGGCATCTTCCTGGATCCTTTGTGCATTCTTTCTGATTGGTCAATGCCTGTGTTATTCTGATTTTTGACATTTGGATGTAATTCATGATAATATGTACAATTACAAAGTGACAGACAACACTTCAGAAGTTTTCACAAGCTTACTTTGATTTTTGAGAGCTAGCAGAAACCTACTAGCATAATCACAAGAACATTCATTGCAGCACTCTTTGTAATAGGGAAAAAAAATGGGAACAACCTTAATGCCCCCCAGTAGGGGAATTAGTAAATTCTGCTATATCCTCACTTTGGTATAATGTACAACAACAAAAACAGATGAGGTAGATCTACTGGTATTCTCATGTAAAATCTATAAGATATAGTCTTCATTGAAAAACAAGTTACAAAAAATATCTATAGAAAAATATTTTTGTGTTAAAAACAAAAACAAAAACAAAACCAGAAAAATTGGTACCCTCATGTATATCTATAAATTCAGAGGAAAATAAAAACCTGGAGAAAGCATATTAAATTGATGATGGTGATTATCTCTATTGATGGTATCTGCTACAGGGATATAGGACTGGTTGTCCCAAGTGATTTTAATCTTATATGCAGTGTCTTCATTTTTATAAGAAGTATGCATGCTATTGTTTGATTAACTTAAAAAATGTCTTATAAACCTGCTAGGGGTATTGAAAAGAATCAGGCAGGGAGAGACATATGCCATTGTGCTATTTGGCTTTTCTCCTTCATGCCCAGGTTAATAACCTTCAAAAATGGCCCAATGTCTGGGAATGTGACAAGGCAACTGACCTAATGCCAAACCAGCCACATACGGCTGGATCAGAGTGTGCTGGGCAAGGAACAATATGCTTCTTTCCCAAATATAAACCTGTCTAAAAGTGTTTCCCTCTGGATATGTAACAGCCCATTTGGGAGTATCTCTTCTTTTTTCCTGCCCAGCAGTTACATGTGTTTCTTTCTGACTAATGAAGGCAAAACATATATTTTCAGAAGACATACAGGGTTTAATAAAACAAGGTATAAATTGATACATTAGAGAGCTAATTTGGGAGATTGGAACAAAGGATCATTGAATATAAATGTCCTTATTCTAGTGAATCAGCATTCTGCATGTTAGAAAGATGGATCCTTTGATTCATGAATCATGGGCATGGCAGAGAATACATGTTATTAAAACCCTTCACTGTAATGGTTCTTCTCTGAAAATCCTGGCCTACCTGCCCTTGTCAACAGGAGGTAGACTTCTTGGTTATATGCTTACATGTACTTATGGAACTGCTTTTTTTTTTTTTTAACCCAGGTTGGATAATAATTGTTTCCTAGTAGACAATAAGCTTTACAAGGTCAGTGACCATGGGTTTTAATTCACCTTTATAAATGTACATTGCCTGCTAAGTAACTGACAAATGAATGAAATAAGTGAATACAATAGCCGAGTTTACACCATAAGGGAGAGCAAAGACTTTTTAATGAAATTTTGCTAATTCTGTTATCTCACAAAATAGAGAGGAAGCCACTTTGTACACTACAGGCCAATTTAATATCATTATTACTGTTTTTGTGAAAATAATGAAAGTATCAGTAAATGCCACTCATTAGTCTACAAATAAGGGGTATGATGATGATGAATAAGCTGTACCACAAAGAACTAAAACCCACAAGACATGTCACCTTGGGACCTTCCATAAATGTGACCAACTACACATTAAAGCTAAGGATTCTGTGTGATTCTGATACTATCACTGTGTTTTGGTTTTGATATATCACTTTGATAGCATTGGCATAGCCCTAGTAACTATTTATGCTCTGAACAAACCCTTAAGTAGAGCTTAGTCTGTGCCAGGCACTCTTCTGAGGTCTTATTGTTATATTATTTTTCCCCTAATTAAAGAGGTAACATCTACTTACTATAGAAAACCTGAAATTATAAAGAACCGAATTTCTGGTTATCCTTAGTTAATCTTTCATTTTATACTTATAAAGTTATTTTGTCCTTGGAGGATTATGTCAAGTTTTTTTAAAAAACGATATCAATCTGAGAGGCCTTGTTTTTTTTAAGAAGATGCATAATGTATTTATTTTGTATATTTTCATAACTGATAGATTTGGTCTTGCTTTTGCTGTGTCTTAAGAATTTTGCTTTTCTTATCTGGTTTTATTTTTCTTACTCTGCTATTTCCTTAGTTTTCTGTTTCAGTGTATAGACTATACTTTGATTTTTTTAAGCTTCTATACTAACTTTTTATACTTATCTAGAAGACAGAAATTTCATTTTTAATTCTACTAAGGTTGCTTTTTAGTTTATGACATATAAAATTCAATTTTTATTTCTTTAATTTTCAGAGATAAGCACAAAGGGATAACACTCATTGTCCTTGATGCCTACTAGAGAATTTAATAGGTTGGCCAGTGTCATGCCATATCCTAGTCTTCGTTAATTATCTATGGTTATAGATTCAACACATCATTTTCCAATCACTATTTTTACCCTGTAAACTTATTTCATTTATTGTTTTTGGATTTGCCACTGAAATTCATAATCACTACTACAAATACAATTCATAGCCAGATCTGTAAGCACATTTTATCATTTATTAATAATATTGTTTAGTAACAACAAGAAATATATGTATATATATATTTGAATACTTTTATGTACAGTGCTATATGACCTATTTCATTGTTATATTTGCTATAACTCTGAGGAAGTATCTATTTTTATCTCCATTTTCAATAGAGAAGGACCTAAAATTCAAATAGACTAGGCAGTTTAACCAAGGTCAACAAATTAAGCTGGTGGTTCCCAAGCTGAGATTGGAATGTGACACTCTTGGCCCAAGGAAGCCTAAACTCCTAAAAACCACACAGTACCACCATGAGAATATCTTATCTATCTACTTTCTGTAATGTAGTACTTCATTTTTTTTCAACTCATGAAGTACCTAACATGTGCTAGGCATGTTTTTGATAGAATGGTGAATCCTTGCCCTTATTGCCCAAGATCTAATGTTGGAGAGATTCAAAGAAGCCACGATGCTAAAGTACAATAAATATTATGGTAGGAGAATTATAGTGTGCTAGGAAATCTCCTGACAAGACTGCATGTTCTCTGGGCATATGAGAAGGCACTACAGACTGGAGATTTGGTGAGGGAGCTGATCTGAAAGGCAAGGAGGAATAAGAAACTGAAAGGAGGTGAATATGGCTGGAGAATCAGAGTATCATTTCTGATGGGAAAAATGAAAATGACAGATTTAAAAAGAAGGAGGGTTGAGAAATAAGGCCAAAGAGATCTCCCTAGATTACTTAATAGAACTTGCCTCTCTTCTGAACTTTTGCCTTTAGCTCACAGAATTTCCATTTTTAGTTTACAGAGCTTTTTCTGGTTTGTGTCATTTTGTGTCTGTCCATGTATATTATCATGTGATGTTGAAAGGCGTATAGAGCACTGGAAATTTGCTGTCATGTTATTGTGAAATTTAAAATAAAAATTTAGCTTCTTAAAGTATATGCTGTTGTTGAAAAGGAAATGTTAAGAAGGCAACTCTGGATTTATGTTTGTTGAGCTGTTGGAAATGAAGAGAAGCTCAGTGGAGCTCAAACCCCTATTGAGTTATTAACATGTTCCTGTTAGTTTTTGAGGGATGGCCTCTGAAGAAATCATTGCAATATTATTGAAAGTTTTATGATGAGATAAAAATTCAACAGCTAAAACAAAAACCATGCATTCGTCAGAAATAATGGTAGGATACAATTTCTAGGGCTACTAAAATACTATTTTGGTTTTCATTAAGCTGAGAAGTAAAATGGAGACCTTGAAAAGAAGTAAATTGAGTTTAGCCCAGACACATTGGTTGAGAAGAAGCACAAATCTCACTTTTTTACTTTCTACAATCAAAAATGGTAAACCTTTTGAATTTCAAACCTATGAGATTAAAAAATCTATAAGAAAATCTATGAGTAGAAAACTCTAATAAAGAGTTTTTGCCTTATAAATGTGATATAGGAAAAGGAAACGTGATTGATAAAATCCAAATAGAACACAATATGCATAAATATTCTATAAATACAATAATTTAATAAGGATAGAAATGATGGACCCTAACATCTTGGGATTCAATATGAGGAAATTATCAACTTATCCCTTTCATATATTTTAAAAATAAATATATTTCAGCATAAAAGCAAGTCCATACACATAAGCAATTGAAGGCCTGACTACAGGAAAGTAGCATAAACAAAGTAATGTATGTTACTTATGTAATGAAAAGCAGAGATATACCCTCTCATATACCCACCCTCCACCAAAAAACAAAACAAAACAAAAAAATAGCAACAAAAACCTCATACCTTAAGGAAATTCTTGGAGTGGGGGTGATGCCATGTAAAGTATGTTGACATCTAAAGAGAGCATTTACAAATTTTAGAATTAGACAGAATATTGTTCTGAGAGATGGATGGGATAAAGGTTTGTGGAAGATTTGCAAATACGTTTCCTCAGAATTTTGGTAAGATCCTGGTACTTATTTTTCTGTATTTGAAATATTTTTTTTCCTAAGAGTAAACTGGGCACCTGGTGGGCACTAAATCAGGAGCAGAGATGGTAGTTAACAGCATGGACTCTGAATTTAGACAGCCTGAGGTCCTAGCTCTATCATTTACAAGCAAGCAATTTCCCCATGTGTCTCAGTTTTCTCAGGTGTTAAGATAGAAAAAAAAGTATTTAACGCTCAGATTTGATGGGTCAGGGTGGATACAGAATGTATGTAAAGATGTCCTTGCTCAGTGGTACATGTGGACCCTACAAAAATGATTAGATAATGGAGACACCAGCTATGACTCTGTAATAGCACTGATGATGTAGGGAGGAAACCTCAATCAAGTGGATTTGTATAATCACCCTTCTTTTTAAATAGTTGCTTGGTATTCTTCTTGAGTGGTAAATAATTAGAAGCTAGAAGGTGTCCACCTTGAGATGGCAGCAAGATGATTGCCACACTTAGTAAGAGCAAGGGTGAAGCTAGGATAAGCCTCCAACATTAAGTGGTTTTTGGCTACAGCCCTGTTAGGCAGTCAGACTCCAGAGCAAGTAACTGCATTATGGGCAGTCAAATCTGGGATGTTTCCTCTTCATATCTGCTCTTGGAGTCACCATTAGTGTTTGCCTGCTTCTGAATCTTCCTTCTCCCAGAAATAATATATCCACTTGTCTCCAGGACACTTTTCTCTCTTGGTTTTCCTCCTATCTCACTGAATGCCATTTCTCAATCTCTTTTGCCATTATTACCATTATTATTATTATTATTATTATTTTAAATATTCCCAGCCTCTAAGTGATGGCATGGCTTACTTGGAATTCTCCCTTTCTTTTTTCTGCAGATACTCCCTAGGTGAGCTTCTACAGGCAGGTATTCCAAAATAAACTGTCATGCCAAACTTGACTTATCCCTGGAACTCTTATTTCCTGTATTTCATCTATTCCACATTTCCAGTTGTATATCTAGTCAACATCTCAATCCTAACACAAGAAAAGAGTTCCAGCTTCCCGCCTTCTTCAGCTCACCAAATTTCAACTATGCTTCTTAATTACTCAGGTCCTAAAACTTGAATTCATCCTTGATTTGTATTTTTTCCCCAATACTCTAAATCCAATCTACTAAAACATTCTCTATCAGTTCTGTGTTCAAATATATCTACAACATGAAATTTTTCACCACTTCTATCCACTCTAATAGCCCTCCTTCAGGTCCGGGCTATCATCTTTTCTCTCCTTTTCTGTCCCTTACTGCAGAGCCTCCTAAGTAGTTTGCCTCCTACAACCCTTGTACCTCTACCGTCTATTCTCGAAATAGCAACTAGAACTACCTTTGAAAAATAAGTTATTTTGTTGCCATACAGTAACATAACGTAATAAAAAGATAAATAAAATTTGGAAAACAAGTTATATAATATCACTTCTCTGTTCAAAGCACTCTAAGATGTTCAACATTATCTGGAGTAAAATGGACATATTTGGTTCTCCATTTGCTAGCTGACTCAATTTTGTCTTTCTGTTCAGATACTGTTTGCTAGCCACATTGCCTCCCTTCTTGTTCTTCAAATACTCCAAGCATCTTCCTTTCTCAGGCCCTTTGAACTTATTCATAGCTCTGCCTAAAATGGCATTACCCCAGATAGGCAGAGGACTTGCCTGTTAACTTCATTCAAGTTACTTCTGCTCAAATTTCACAGTATTCGGGAGGATTCCCCTCTCCAGTCCATTCTAAGAAGTACTCCCTCCATGCTTTTACCTCCTGTTCTTGAATTATTCTGTTTCCCAGAATGTAACATATTTTAGATTGCTTATTACTTTGCCCTTTTTGGTTTACTATTATAGTACTGATACCTAGAAAAGTGCCTACCCCATGGTTAGAGAGAAATAAATATTTGTTAGATGAGTGAATGCCTGGGGTTAGAATAGAATAGGGCAGTTCTGTCCTACCAGGGGGAAAGAGTCTCTTCCAATTCTTTACTGGGATCATTGAAACCAAAGCTGAGTTGGACAGTAAGTACTCAAGATAGTACCTATGCTTAGTAAGGCTCTAATAAACAACTGATTTAAACTAAGCTGTCTTATGATTTAAAAATGCCAGTACTTTATGAGACATTTCCTCCTAGAGCCATGCTATTTTCAGTCAAGAGTAGTTTTTAGAATCACTTTTGTAAAGAAAAAGTATCCCTATATACTACCCCCGAAAGACTGACAAAGTTTTCTTTAAAATGTATTCATGCCATTTCTGGGACAGGAGACAGTTTGACCACACATTAAAATAAGACTTTTGGAGCCAGGGAACTCTCTTCTTCCCTTCTCCCTGAGGTCTCTACTCTCCCTTCCTGTTAGATCTCTTGGTCTAAGCCTGGCTAAACAAAGTAAACTGCACATATATTAATAGGAAAACAGCTGTTGAGCTGTTGGAAGAGCAATATCACCAACTAATATTAGGGCAATATATTTTAGTCTCTGAAGACAAAGAGCTTTCAGTTCACCTTTGCATTATAACATTTGCACATTCATAAAAAAGGGGGAGGGGAAGGTATTTCAAACCAAGAATTGGAGCCCTTCAGAGAAGACTTTGTTAGGATTCAGATCATTCACCCTGGAAGGGAAAAATAACAGAGCCAAGACCTTGTTAACCCATATTTGTAAAGTGTTTTGTTGATTTTCTTGTTTTAACCAACATTTCTGGCTTTTTCCACATACCAGGGAACTTGAAAGCAATTCTGTTACTAGCCTCCCTGCCTCTGTTCTCCTATGGTGGAAATCTCTGTCTTCCTCCTGGGCCTCCCTGTCTCTTTCAATCCACCCATTCCATCTCCTCCTCAATCCAAGAAGCTTTCACTCCTATCTCCAGCACACTTTCAAATTTGCCCTTCTTCCACCACTTCACCTTACATGCTGCTTTTTATAGGTGTGTAGTTAGTGTGTGAAGGTGAGTGTATATGGTTTGTCTCCCCCAACTAATTTGGAAGGTTGTTGGGAGCAGAGAGTAGGTTTTTGTACATTGGGCTGTCTCTCAAAGAGTCTCCCAGTTCTGTGTACACAGTTGGCCTCCATGAAGTCTCACTGGGGAAGTGGGTGTATGTGAGAGTGGATGCTGCATGGTGTTACTAGTGAGGAGTCTACACTTTCTGTAGTCTGGATCTGCTGCCCACTCGCTGTGTGACTTGTGCCAAGTTGACACGTAGTGGGGAAGAGAAGTGTCTTCCTCATGGGTGGTTGAATTGCTTGAGGGATAATACACACTAATTTGTCTAGTTTGGAGCCCAGGAAATAGTAAGTTCTTACTACATGTTGATTTGAAAGTGAGTGACCAGACAGACAGGAGTTCAACTCCACCATTCACTGGCTGTCTGACTTGGAGATATTTTTACAGACTTTCAGACCTGTATTTTCCTTACAGAAACATTAATGCTTATCTCACGGAGGCATTATGAGGACCAAATGGGGGTGTTGCGAGAGATTTCCCAATGAGTTAGTAAATGTGACTTTGTTCATTTATTTCTGGAGCTGATCACTCCTTGAGCTACACAAATGGATTCCATTTCAGCTTATTACCTTGACTTCAGTTCTTGTGGCAGAGACTACCAGCCAGCTGCCCAGTTCTGCTCTCCTTCTTGGAACACACAGTTAGACCATATTTCCTTAAGCTCCCTTACATGCAGCGATGTCAGATGACTGCAATATCTCCACTGGAATGTGAACAGAAATGCTGCATGCTACTTTCAGGAATTCCTGCGAAGACCCTTCACTCATCCTTCATGCAGTTTCCTTTCCACTGTATGAAGATGATGACCCGGCACATGGGGATGGTGGAGCAAAAAAGATGACAGGGAAGAGTAGTTTCTTGGATGACCAGATAAAAGCTGCTTTACCAACCCAACCATCTGCCCAAGAGTCTTATATGAAATAAATAAGTAAATAAACTTCCTTTTCATCAGCCACCAGAAGTCTAGGATCTCTTTGTTATTACAGACTATGTTACTCTATTTTAATATACACCTCCTATCCTACCCTCCAAATTCTCATGCCTTAAAGTTGCTCTGTGATATTAAGCACTGAGTCGTGTTAGCACTTAGTGGTATTTCTATTAGCAGCAAATAAAAGTCTTTTATTTCTAGATCTGTTGATTCTCAAGGTGAAAAATGTCATGTCTTTTCTTTCAATAATAAGGATAAAAAATTTCATTGATTTTTTTTTTTTGTCTTTTGAGTATTCTTTGTCATAGAATTTTATCATTTCCTATTGGGTTATTTATCTTATTCTTTTGGGATTTGAAAACCTTTAGATGTAATCATTATTATCCCCTTGTTATGTTTGTTGATTTTAACAATAAATGCTTCATGATACATAGTCATTAAGTTGATCAGTCTCTTCTTTATGGATTCTTCTTTTGATCCCGTGTTTTAAAACTCATTTCTTACCCTAAGATTAGATATGTATTTTCCCTATTAATAAAATCATGAGGCTGAATGCACACTACACTACCCACACTTGCTTTCTGGGCTATTGTGTCACCTTGCATTCCAAAGTACTTAGCACTGATCTCTAGCTTCTTTTTAAAATCAGACAACTTTATCTTACTTAGTCACTTTCTTTTTTATTTCTAATTAAGCATTTGGGATCTAAGTGATCTGAGGAATATTTTCCTCTCTAATGTTCTAACTTTTATTCTGTCAGTATATCTCTCATATCTCTTTAAGTTCTTTGTTTAATTTATTAATGTTTTCACTATTGCTTTGAAGATTTCATTAACATGCTGTTTACCCCTTCAGATGCTATTAGTGATGATGGTCCAATAAAACAGAGTTAAACTGATTCCCCCATTATCTGATTAGCCAGTCTGCACAGT